CAGGACAACAATGCCTAAGGAAAGGGATTTATTGAGATTACTGGACTGGGATGAAGCTCAATGGTACAGCACTTGCCTAGCATGCATGGGGCCCTGGGTCTGATCCCCAGCACCCACCCACCCCCAAAAAAGACTGAGGTTGAGGTTTCCAGTGGGAAAGTATTGTGGCTGGGAGCAGTAAGTTGTCCTTTGCTTTGTCTGTGGTGGTTTACCCAGGAAGCTGACACAAAGACATTTTCAGTGAAAAATTGCTTTGATGAAGAGGTGTGATGGGGTCTGGAATGCAGGCAATAGGACGTGCCACAGGCACAAGGGGGTCACTGTGCCAGACAGGGGGAATTGAGCAAGTGGGCAAGTTCCAGGTATGAGCTGAGTGCAGGCAGAGTTTCCTGGGACTCTGCTGCCTCTGAGTCGGACCACAGAGGAACAAGAGGTGGTAAGTGAACTTCTGGCTTCAGGAACCCCAGTATACTCAGAGGACAGAGTGTGAGTGCTCTTGGAAACTGCTACTTGGCACCCTCCAACTCTGGATTTCTGTTCCCCCATCTTCATGTCCAGCACACAAGGCCTTTCTTCCCTTCACAGCTGCACCCTCCCAAAGACCAGCAGATGGGGTCAGTGAGCTGCTGTACTATACTCCATGGGCACAGCCAGAAGCAGCCTGCCAGCCCCAGGTCCTGGTCCTCCAGAGCCTGGGAAACAGTAAGGGTTTGGCTAACCAGTTTTCTGACCAAGGCAAGTTGGAGGTGGGACAAAAGACAAGGAAACACTGGGCTGAGGCCTTGGAGTGTGATGGCTCCAGGGGCTCTGCTTCTTTTGGTTGCCCTTCATTGCTCTCCACTGCTGGGCCCTGCCTTATCTGCTGAGGCCCCTGCCCCCCCCCCTTTCCCAGAGGCCCTAAACAGCCCAGACTCCTGGATCTGGCAGAGGCTGGTTGTCTGCCCCGAGGCAGGAACAACCTGGCACCAGATCTCAGACAGGGTTGGGCCAGCCCCTCCCAGTTATGACTGCCTGAACCACCTTCTACTACCTGATGAGGGGAAGGGGTCAGTGGCTGATGAGGCTACAGCAAGCTGGGCATAGATGCTGGGGAGGAAGACACATGGTCTCCCATCCTAGGAAGTGGGATGAATGGTAGGGAGCTATATAATAATGCGTCAGAGAACCCAGTCCTACCAAGACCCAAATCTCACAGTTCTAATGGCTTCATCTGAGGTGGCATAGTGTCCCAGAAGCTGAGCTAGAAACACTTACTTCCCTATACTAGCCATCCTATAGAGCCACAGGCAATTGCCACTACCTCATCCACTCCCAGGCAGTCTTTCTCTCCATCATGGGCTTCCTGATCAGTCAAGGTCCTTCATGGTTCTTTCATAGGACAGGGTAGGATCCTGCTTCTCAGTTCCATCCTTCTCTTGCTTTCCAGCCTCTATCCCTCTACTCTTCCACGCTTGATCCCACTGTATCTCCCTCCCTATCTCTAAGGGGAATCCTTAATGGGCTGAGACTGAGGTGAGGTGAGTAGAACAGGGTGTTCTGACCAATTCAGGCTCTATAACTCAAATTGGAAAGCCAGGCTGAAGGTGCTGTGTCTACCTCTGAGTCTGGGTCATCGATTCAGGGCACAGGAGTCAGTGGATTTGGAAAAGGAATGTTTCCAGAGACAGGATGACCCAGACCAAGGAAGAGAGAGTTACCAGAAATTCACAACATGCACACATGTGTGCACATGCATACACAGGGTCATAGCTCAGGGAACAACACAACCAATGGCATAGATAGGCCATGGAGCTCCATGGACACAAGTGCATACAAACACAGGCACACAAAAGTCTTACCCAGGATCATACACACCCTCCCCAGGAAAGTCCTGCCTTCCAGGCCAGGGCTAGCCTGTCATCCACACTTCCAGGAGGAGAGACAGGTGGAGGAACAGGAGTGGCTCTGGGTGGAGGACCCATCTCCACCCAGAGCCTCTCCCTTTAAATGAGTCTGGCTCACAGCCTGCTCCCTGAAATCTCCCTGGCCCATCAAGGGGTCATTCCTGGGTTGTAGAGAGGGCTTTGGAAGAATCACTTTCATGAGACTCAGGCACAGAGCCTGGCCACAGAAGAAAGAATGAGCAATGGGGCTGGGAACTGTGACAAGAGTCCATGAACTCCTAGAGAGGGCAGGGACGAGGCACTGAGCAAGGTCTGGAGGCTCAGCAGGAACTGGGATCCCCCTTTACCTCAGCTTGCACCTACTCTCCTCTGCACAGGGCCTGGCACCCAGGTACTGGCACCAACTCCTCATGCCTGGCAGAGCCCTGGCATGCATGCTAGGCACAGGGTGCCAGAGACAGGGGTGGTCGAGGGTGGGGGGCAGGCCACACACAAACAAGGACCTTCATACACAGACAAGGAAATGTACCCACACACCACTTATCACCTGGGGATTCTGAGGAGCAGGGCAGGGACCACCCTGTCCTAGCAGCTACCTTCGCTGACTCCCCAGGTGTTCCTGTTGGCCTGTTTCTTGGGAGCAAGGGGGAGGCAAAGGTGAATGGAGGCCTAGAGGCTTTCTCTGAACCCCTCACCATTCTCACACACATTTCTGTGGCAGGAGGTGGAGTTGTGCATTTCCAGTTCCCACCATGGAGAGCAAAGAGGAGCAGAGACTTCCAGTCCCCTGGAAAGGTCACCCTGCTTCCCCCAGGCCCCGTCCTAGAAGGATTTTGTGGCCTCGAGCTGCTCAGTGTTCAGGCATGTACACTAGGGACGCGCGCACACCGCAGGCGGGCGCGGGCGTGACCAGCGGCTACAGCGGTGAAGGCCGGCTGGTTCCCCGAGGTGTCCCGGTGTTCCCGAAGGCCGGGCGGTCAAGGCGGTGCTATCAATACGAGGTGCTGAATGAAGTTGTGGGTGTCCTCAGGTGTCCCAAGCCAAATGTGAGCAGGATGTGTTGTTCATGTGGGCGCGGCTTCTCAAGGCCCTGGGCGCGTGTGTGGGGGTTGGGGTGAAGCGGACGCATGGCACTCGGGCTGGTCCCGACCAGCCGCGTCCCCAGCGCAGCCTGCAGCGAGCTGCTCCTCCTCAGGCAGCAACTTGGGACTTTGTTCCGGCTTATTGGAAAGCGGATCTGGCCGAAGGGTTGAGGGGGGGCACCTGCCGTGTATGGGGTGCTGGAGAAGTGAGGAAAAGCCCCACCCCTCCCCGCCTCCACCCCCCCCCCCCCCCGCCTCCACCCCTCCCTCGCCCCGCCCCGGGCTCTTTAAAAGCTTGGTCCGCTGGCCAGCGGAGAAAGCCGAGTGCCTCTCTCATCCCAGGCTGGGTTTCCCCTGCACCCTGCGCCCCCGGCTCGAGTCCCTCGCCTCGCTCCCCGCCCGGCCCCCGCCCCGCCCCAGCCTGCCCGCCCGCCATGGAGCGCTGGCCTTGGCCGTCGGGCGGCGCCTGGCTGCTCGTGGCGGCCCGTGCGCTGCTGCAGCTGCTGCGCGCAGACCTACGTTTGGGCAGCCCGTTGCTGGCGGCACTGGCGCTGCTGGCCGCGCTCGACTGGCTGTGCCAGCGCCTGCTGCCCCCACCGGCTGCACTCGCCGTTCTGGCTGCCACCGGCTGGATCACATTGTCCCGCCTGGCGCGCCCGCCACGCCTGCCCGTGGCCACTCGCGCGGTGCTCATCACCGGTGAGTCCGCAGAGTGCGGGGACTCCAGGCTCGAGGGCGGACCGCACCCCTAGAGGGCTCCCTATAGGAATGGCCAAGGGGGGCTCCCCAGCGCAGGAGTAAAGGAGTCCCCTGGGAGCAAAGGAGAAGCCAAGTAGGAAGCGCAGGGCACCTCCCCAAGTCCCGGTTAACTACCTGCCGCTGCTGCAAGTATTGGAGAGAAAGTGTAGCAGGCAGTGGGCAGGTGCTCTAAGGAAACCTGGTGGTCCTAGGGGTTGATAGTTTGTGTTATGCCTTTCCTCAAGAGCAGGCAAGGGACGGGGACAGTGCTCTGAGGGGCTTGGGAAGATTGAGATGAAGGATAGTCATCTCTTGAACTCTGCTTGACACCCATCCCTACATGGGACATCCTGTATTCTATTCCCTGGGGCCAGAGGAAGGAGCTTACATGAGGAGCTGCACCCCCACCTCCAAAGGCTGAAATCCTTGAAGTTCAGAAAAGCTTGAGGTCACTACGGGGGCACTCAGCTGGCTCCCTTGGGTCCAGCCAGCCACTGCCAAACTGCTGAGGCAGCAGTCCATGGTGTGCACTTCACTCCCATCCCTTCTAGTTCTTGGTGCCCAGGAAATAGGTCTTGGAGAGCTGGACTCCTCAGGTGCTTCTGGCCGCCAGGCTGAGCTCCCTTTGTCTGGAGCTGGGGATAAATCTGTCACGAGAGCAAGGGAAGCGGGGCTGAAGACCTAGGTGGAAGTGGGGAGGGGGAGAAAGGTCAGGGGGCCCTAGTCCGTTGCATGGGGGGAGGGGCAGCCCAGTCTCTCCCCAAGTCCATCCCACCTAGCTTTGGACAGGTGCTCTGAGCTCTGCCTTTGCATAGACCCTGGACGGAGGACAGCCAGCAAACCAGTAGGGGGCCCTGCATGATCAGATGGGGCTAGGAGAACTCCTTCAAGGGGAAATCCTTGAACTGAAGGATGTGTGGAGACAGATGGATCAAAGAAAGGGTGTGGGACAAAGGCTTAAGGCAAGAATGAGGTTTGCCTGGGAGGGGACAGACAATACCAGTTTAGTTTTAGCAGTGTGGTGGGATGTTAAATTTCCATGGGTGGGGCCTTGAATGGTAGTTAAAATCCAGGTGGTGCTGATGTGGGGGATGGTGTGAGAGTAGCACAGTGAGGACTTTAGGCTTCAGCAAAGAGGAAGGAGATGAAACAGGACGCAGGTTGAATGGGATAGACCCAAGTTCAGGGTGCAGCAGAGCCTCAGAGGACCTCAGTTTCAAGGGTTGAGGAAGGAAAGCCAGTAGACCCTCCCAGTATGAAGCAGGGACTAGGTTGTTTGATCTTCCCTCTCCTCCAAGACAGGGCAGATCCCCTTCTGTCATCTAATTTGTGAGTTGCCTTAACAGGACCCAGGCCATCTGAAGGACTTCCTCCATTTCTGGTTGCAAAGCTCAGGGTGTAAGGGTAGGAAGCAGCCCAGCCCACCCCTGTGTACGCATCACCAGTGGGTTCGTAGCTTCCCAATGCCTGAAAACTCTAGGGTTTCCTCAATCATCACACCTGCCTAGAGCAGTGTCTTGTGCCTGCCAGAGCTGCCACCCACCCTTCCTGAGAATGCCCAAGAACTGCTTGCCAAATCCACTTCAAGAACTCAGCCATGGGGTCAGGGTTTGGGCTGTGGCTGGATGCCCTTCCCTAGCAGACTTCTGAGAAAGACCCCTTAGCACAAGGTGGCAATCCCCAGCCACACAAGGCCCAGCTCCAAGTTCCCTGCCCAGCTTTGTTCTAGGCCTCCACAGAGGGGGGTGTGCTGCGATGGGAGCGGGTGCTGAGTGTCCAGGAGCCAAACAGAGCTGCTCCATAGCTTTTCTGCTCAACAGGACCTCAGGTCTGGTGGCTAGTACTCCAGAGAGCCTCCTCCCTCACTGGCCCCCTGCCCCTTTACTGGCCACCCAGAGTCAGGAAGCTTGGGCCTAATCGGATAGGATGGACCCCTGCACCATCCCTGCCTGGTGGTCTTCTTGCATACCAAAGGACAGAAAGTAAGCCTCCAAGAATTTTAACAGTGCTGTGGCAGGCACAAGGTGGATGTGGGAAGGCACTGAAATGCAGGTCTGTTCTCATCTTCCCCCACCAGGCCACTGTCCTGAGGGCAAGTGGCTTGCAGCTCAGAAAATACCCAGTTATTGCCACTGATTCAAATTCCAAGGATAAGAGGTCAGGAGTAAGGTAGGAATAGGCCTTCTGCTTGCTCAGAGCCTGCAACATTAGTTGGGAGTGTCGAGACTGGGAAGGGAGGGGATCCTCAAGTTGGTCAGGGCCTTATTGATGGAACCAGAGAGCTTGGGCTTTGTCTTGAAGATTGAAGGGAATCTTGGGAAGATTTTCAGCAGCAGAGTGATTGTAATTTTTAAAAAGATCCCTCTGGCTGCTTAGGTAAAGGATGTATTTTGGGGCAAGACTGGACAGGACCAAGAAGGTTGCTTCAATGTCCAGGTTAAAGGAAGGAAGGGCAAGGACATTCAGAAAGGAAGGGTAACACTGCATATGAGCTCTGGTCTAAATCAAGCAGGAAGGACATCAGGAACGGGGCTGGGTCTCAGGCCTACCTGGGATAGTCTTGACCTTTGTGATGGCTGTGTGACTTTGGGAATCAAATTAGTATTACTAGGTGTCAGTTTGTTCTTTGAGGATTATAAAGCATCTTTGATGTGGTAGCCATGGGGAGTCCAAGGAAATGACAGCTATCAGAGTTGGTGCTCAAGGCTCAGCAGGAAGGGCAAAGCCTGCCAGAGATGGGTAGGATAAGGAGGGAAGGCTGTTGATTTTTGCTGGATTGAGAGTCCAGGGATGCCACCCATACCCTGGTGATCTTTGGGTTATCTCGGGCTGCACTGGACCACTGTGGGAGTTCACTAGCTGCTCTGTCCTGACCAGGCTGTGACACTGGTTTTGGCAAGGAGACGGCTAAGAAATTGGATGCTATGGGCTTCATGGTGCTGGCCACCGTATTAGACCTGAATAGCCTCGGTGCCCTAGAGCTGCGTGCCTGCTGTTCACCTCGCCTAAAGCTGCTGCAGATGGACCTGACCAAGCCAGAGGACATTAGCCATGCTCTGGAGTTCACCAAGGCCCACACCACCAGCACTGGTCAGACACAGCTTCCCTGGGGGAGGGCATGGTCAGGCAGGCATGAAAGGGCAGGGATTGCAGGGTTTTCTCTGGGCTGATCTGAAGCTTCACTCCCTGCCTCCCTACCCCCAGACATGAAAGGGCAGGGATTGCAGGGTTTTCTCTGGGCTGATCTGAAGCTTCACTCCCTGCCTCCCTACCCCCAGGCCTGTGGGGCTTGGTCAACAATGCAGGCTTTAACGACATAGTGGCTGATGTGGAGCTGTCTCCAATGGCCAAATTCCGCAACTGCATGGAGGTGAACTTCTTTGGTGCACTTGAGCTAACCAAGGGACTTCTGCCACTCCTGCGCCGCTCAAGGGGTCGTATTGTGACAGTGGGCAGTCCAGCAGGTGAGTGCCATCCTCCTCAGGGGTACAGCAGAAGAGTTGCTGCTGTGGGGTGGGGGAGGACTTGGGGAGCTCCTCGCCAAGTCTGATCTGCCTCACCCCATCCATTTTATCCCCAGGAGACATGCCATATCCGTGCTTGGCAGCCTATGGAACCTCCAAGGCAGCCATAGTGCTACTCATGGACTTGTTTGGCTCTGAACTTCTTCCCTGGGGGATCAAGGTCAGCGTCATCCAGCCTGGCTGCTTTAAAACAGGTGAGGCTTAGAGCTACGGGTAGATCATGCATAAGGCCTGGGGTTGGGAAACAGGGCTGGGCATGATCTTATGGGGACAGGAGTAGGTCTGAGGAATAGGCACAGCTTTGGCTGTAGGTGTAGCCAAGTTAAATAGACCAGTGGCCTCTTGCTCTCCTAGCTCATCACCCTCTGACCTTGCCACCCCTTCTCCAGAGTCAGTGATAAATGTGAACCTCTGGGAACAACGCAAAAAACTGCTGCTGGCCAACCTGCCCCGAGAGTTGCTACAGGCCTATGGTGAAGACTACATTGAGCACTCGCACAAGCAATTCCTGAATTCACTCAGCAGGGCACTGCCTGACCTCAGCCCAGTTACAGATGCTATCACTGATGCGCTTCTGGCAGCTCAGCCACGCCGCCGCTATTACCCAGGCCGTGGCGTGGGGCTCATGTACTTCATCCACTACTACCTGCCAGAGAGCCTGCGGCGCCGTTTCCTGCAGACCTTCTTCATTGGTCCCTGTGTGCCCCGAGCACTGCAGCCTGGCCAGCCTGGTCTTACTCTCGCTCAGGATATTACCCAGGACCCAAACCTGAACCCAGGCCCTTCCCCAGTGGTGGCTCGGTGAGCCAAGTGCACACATAGCCTGCTGCTCCAGCATATGAGGCTCCATGAGACTTTGGCTCTCCCTGGCCATTCTGAACCCCCAGGTCTGCCCCACAGCCTAGCCTAACAAACTTCAGCCCCTTTGCTGCCAATGCCCAGTCCAGGTCCAAGAGGCTGAGGATTTCCAGGGAGCCTCTGGGTCTCAACTGCTTTGTGAGCCCACACAGACCATCTTGAGAACAACACTCTATCCTGCAGGTTGGAGAATACATCTGGATAGGGAGTTTTGTGCAAGATTTAGCCACAGCCTTTGTTAGGGCCCTGTAGACAGTGTCTCTGCAAACTAAGAGTGACTGGTGCTTGCTTCAGCAGCACATATACTAAAATGAGAACAATACCGAGAAGATTAGCATGGCCTCTGCACAAGGATGACACGTAAATTCATAAAGCGTTCCATATTTTTGTCTATATTTTAAAAATGGGGGGAGTGCCAGGGATTTAGCTCAGTGGTTCTACTGCCTGCCTTGCAAGCACAAGGACCCAAGTTTGATCCCCCGTACCAAAAAAAAGGGGAGGGCAGGGTTTAACTTAGTGGTGCCATGCCTCTCTCACAAGTGCAAGGTCCTGAGTTCAATCCCTGGTACACACACACACACAAACACACACACACACAAGTGGGTGGATTGGGGACCCCCTCAGGATTGTTTCTTGGCACCAGTGCCTCAAGTGCTACAATTCCAGGGTATCCCAACTGCCTCTTGACTGGCTCAAGACTTCAGACCCCAGCCCCTCACTTCCAAGCCACAGGGAAGCAGCATACCTTACTTGCCTGATTGCTACTTTTTAAATAAAGATAAATTTTTATTTCTCCTAGAATGGAGGAGGTGGTGTTTGGAGGGGGTGATTGCCTGGTTAGCCTTGGTGACAGGATGTGGCTATATGGTAGAAGTGGAGAACCAGGGCTCTGTGCACAGACCTGAATGGGCTCCCCTGGCATACTCTAGTTTTTTGTTTTTTTTTGTTGTTTTTTTTTTTTTTGGTGTAGGGGGGTCGAACTCAGGTCCCTGCGCTTGCAAGGCAGTTGGTGAAACCAGTGAGCTAAATCCCTGGCCCACCCCTAGCATACTCTGGTTTATATACTCCCTCTTCCATTTACCTCAGGCAAATCATTTATACTTATTTCTGGGTTTCTTCATAATGAAATGAGGATAATAATCATGATCACAGAGAGTTGTAGAGATCAATAAAACAATTAAGAGTCTTGGAGGCCCCCAGGACCCAGCTCGGCAGGCCTGTCTCTGCATTTGAGCTCCAGCAGAGGAAGGGGCTATCCTTTAGGTACTCCCCTAACCCTGAGGAATTTGGACTGCTAATTTCAGAGTGAATTCAGAAAGGGTGTGATCATGAGGGAAGTTGGGGATCTGTGAGGGGTACCGTGACCCAAAGGAAGCAACAGACAGTGGATTAGGGCAGTTTTATTGTCTCAGATCGACCTGAGGGAGAGCTACCTTTCCTATGCCCCACAATACACATTCTATCTTTCCCATGGGCCACGGCTCTGGGAAAGGGAGGTCTTACTGCCTCCAGGTTTCTCAGGTTAGAGAGGGACATGAAGGTGACCACATGCTTCTCAGACATGTCAGTGGCTGTAAACATAGGGCTGAAGGGGCCTCATTTCTCTGAGGGCATCTTGGTGAGGGGAGAAGTACCCAGCTCTTTCATACCGAAAAGCAGTCCTGGATGGGGGTGAGGGTCAGGGAAGCTGCACAGCCCCTAGGACAATGTGCTACCCACCCAAGGATAGGCAGGTGAGCCATGGGCTTCATCACAGCATACACAGACATACACAGTACATTTGGGAGCCTTGGGTCAGGATGCTAGAAGATGGGGATATAGTTGTCAATCTTGGCGCGATGGCGCTGGGCAATGCACTCAGCAATCCACACAATATTGCGACACTCCTGCTCCTTGAGCTTCACAAAGGCATAGAAGACACCAAAGTGGAACTGGTTCAGGAAGGCCAACTTGTTCAGTTTCACCTGTGGACAGAGGCAGGCATGGTGTACAGGCGGCTGAGGCCAAAGGCAGACCTTAGTCATCAACTCTTCCCTATGCTCTGTGCTCACCTCATGCTCAAAGAATCGGTCCTCCAGGGTCTTGTCTCCAGGATTGCTGCCTGCACCCTCAAAAAGCAGCTTGTATTCCTGGCCAAGAACAGTTGGAAACATGAGTATGAACGTACTGCTGGATGCTTAGGGAAGGGGTACATGGTGCCAATATGGCCACCCACCATCCTGCCAGTCAGGGAACTCACCGGGTAGTAATCGGCCACATTCTTGACCTGCTCATAGTCATCAGCCCGAGCCAGCTGAGCCAGGCCCTCAGGGTAGAGGCGCCCACAGTGCGGGAATAGCTTGGCACGGTCCTCCTTGGACAGCTCTGTGCCAAAAGAGTTGATGGTGATGATGAAGGCGCGGCGGTCTGCTTCAAACTGCAGGGCAGTGCAAAGGCAAGGAGAGAGGGAAGAAAAGGAAGGCTAAGTCAGTTGGCAGAGCTTCCCCTGGGCCAGGGCTAGTGGGGACCAGCAGACGAGGGTGTGGGAAGACACTCACCTCCAGGATGGGGCACATAGCATCAGCTGTGGTCCCGCCCAGTAAGGTGCAGAACTTGTAGAAGGACTCCAGGTAGGCCTGTGCACAGCATGGAGCTTGCTCAGTGTGAGCAGAGAGACTCTGCAAGACTTATTAGGCTCCTACTCACAGCTTCCTCCTCCCCTCCCCAGCGCCTTTCATGGTAGGGACTAGTCAAGGCAATTCTATGGCAAAGCCCCTGAACATCACCAATGCCAACAGTTAATCAGTCAAGCAGCAGTAGCCTGCTGCCTCCCAACCAGGAGTGACAGAACCGCCAACTACCTGCTTCAGGGTGCATGTTCCCAATGCCCTCTTCTCAGAGGACTGGCTCAGATGGACCTCTGTCTTTTCCCCTAAATATCTCTTCCTCAGTCTCAGAACAGTTGATGTCTATGGGCTAGTAAGGGAAGATTACTCCTGAGAGTTCACAGAGATGGCTGGAATGAGTACCCTAGCCATTACTGTGTCCTACCTTGCAAAACACCTCTTCCTACCACCCCACAGGCTGCCCTTAGGCATCAGAGAGCAGGAACCAAATTGTCAGGCAAGTTTGTGATGAAGGATGGTTATTGCCTATGCAGACGTCAGCCTCATAGTGCAATGGCTGGGCACAAAGGCTACTATTGGGAACAAGTACTTCCTGCCCAGGCAAATTCAATCTTCGGGGCATGAGGGAAGGACAGGTCAGTCCAGGCTCCAGGTCCTTTCTAACACTCATTCACAAAGTCAGCCAGGTTTCTTTCCCCAAACCTGTCCGTCATGGTCCTACAGGCCCCATTTAGATTCCCAGGACCTACCTGGTGGCTTGGTTCCAGAAACTTTGGCTCCACAGGTAGAATCTATTCTTTTGAACTAGAAGAGGGGCCTGGGAAGCATGAAAAGCTTTCTACACTGAGGTCTGCCTTCCAGACTGAGTTGGACCTGTAGGCTCTGCTATTCCAAGCGATAAGACAAGACCCTGGATTCCATGAGCCCAGGCCTAGCACAACTAACAACATTGAGCAAGCTGAGCCTCAGGGTAGAACTTGAGAGTGACTACAAGAAACAAAAGACTAGGACAGGTTAGGAGTAAGCAGCCTAGAGAGGAGAGTAGAGTCCAGCATAAAGGACTGCCTGGAACCAGGGACATCCTTGGATCACAGAAAGATGCCACTCCCACTACCACAATTTGGAGGTGCTTCTTGGTCCCTCCAGGAGTCAGTCTCTTGGGGCCAGACAAGCTGGTTGTATTGAGAACCCAAGACTTACCCTTTTTGGGCCTGCAGAGCCTACCTAGGGGACGGAGTAGGGGACACGAGTCAAGTCTTGGATTCCATATCCTGCTATCTACCCATTTGCTCCCCAGAGAGACTGACCTCAGGTTGAGAAGCAGGCAGGAAAGGATTCTGGTGGGTAGGACAAATAAGGAACTGGCAAGACCCAAGTACCAAGGTCACCTCCCCATCTCCGCCCTATCCCCTGGAGTCTGGCAGCGCATGGTTGCTGCACTAGCTGCTTACAGTTCTCACATGTCAGGTGGCTAAGGGTCCACCTAATCTTTCATCTGTGGCCATCAGGCTGGGACATCGCCTGTGGGCAGGCGGTCCTGGCACAGTGCCTGCTGTGTTGGGTCAGTGTTTATGAGCAGGTGCCTCGCAGCTCTTGCCAGTGACTCCAGTTAAAACCAGTTAGGCCTGGTGAGGGTGTGGATGAGGCTGGGGGGGACAGCCACACCTCTTACCCTGTCTTGGGGCAAGGAACATGACAACAGGCCAGCTGGGTGGGTGGGAGCACAGGGAGTGTGTGTGTATATGTGTGTCTATGTGTGCAAACCCCTACACATTTTTTATCTGTCTTTTTCTCCCTCCCCTTACTAAGTTGGCTTGCCTCCATATTAGCAGTGGGGGGTGGGAGTCCTCACTTGCAAACAGGCTGAGCCAGGTATGGTCCCTTGTGCTGCCAGTGACTTACTTTAGACAAGCATCCCATTTCTCTGAGCCTTTAGTTTCTTCATTTTGCAAATGGGGACAACTGTGCCTAAAGATGCCAGAAGAGGGCCAGGGATTTAGCTCAGTGGCCCCATGCCTGCCTTGCAAGCACAGGTCCTGAGGTACCAAAAAAAAAAAAAAAAAAAA